GATACAGCGACAAAGGTAAGAGCCACATTATCTTGGTCGTCATACCTTCAATGGTTTGTATTCTTTCGGATAAGCTTATCAAAGACCTTTAGTCTCGCGTACTTATTTGGTAATATATATTTATGCTGACTTTTTCAGAGTTAGTACATAACAGTATAAAGAGTACTTAGCGATTAACTAAGACTTAAGTGGAATAATGTTATTAGTCGTGTGCGATACTAATTTCTGGCACTGGCTACTGTGCAAATATTGCCTTCAACGATCGGTGTGTTTAATATTTTTTAATCTTTCCCTGCCGAATAATAATGTATTTGATAATTTAAACATTTATTTAATTTGCTCAGACATATGAGCAATCACTGTTTTAAAGCAAATAAACGGGGACTATTCAAACTTAGTTCATATATCAAAAGCAATCAAGCATTGCTTTGTCCAGAATAAATGCCTTACTATCTTTAATTATTTTTAAATAGCGTGATCTTTGTTGATCGCTTTGTTGATTCAAGGCCTTATAGTCAAGCCACCTATATCTCCCTATCGTGGATAGCTCTTCCATCAGACCTTGAATAACCCATGATTATCCTTGTTTAAATCTAGAATATATCGTCTCATTACATAAGGCCTCTTATAAATATATTCACTCTCTGTCCTATACTCAGTTTTATTGAGCGCTAACGTCAAGATCTGTAATACTGACTTGATGGAGAAAGCAAAGGATTATCAACCTGGTTCGCCATCTCAGAAGCAGACGCCAGGTCCTGAGGAACCGACTCCGAGCGCCGAGGTATCTAATCTTGCCACTCGCCTTGCACACAAATTAGATTCTGCTAAGCCGAGAACCGCAGATGCTGTATTGCCTTTCGAAACTACTGGTACGCCTTGCTCCCCTGTATGCTCTTATAAGACTACACAGCAGCCCCACACCTCGCTCAAGCACAGCCTCCCCTGAGACGGAAAGGGCAGCAGTGTAAGAGTGACTCGAGCTATCCCATATTCCTCTAGTATTATCACCACAATGACATAAGACTTCTTTTTCCTGGAAATCGCTGCTGAAAGCACAATGGACCAACTGGTCGCTCGATATGTTAAGGTATTATAGTTTATATACACTAGGTGAATTGAAAATAAGGCCTATGAACTTTGCTTCACATTACATCCCATGAGTTGTCTTGTTCAAGATCAACTACATTCTCCTGTTTGCCTAAGGCTCTCATTTCTGAGGCAAGTACGCTCCTTTTTTGCTTACCGAATTACAGTGTCCATTCCTACTTTTAACACCACTGATCCATAACAATTACTATTTTTGCTTCACACTCGATATGTCCTCAGTAATAGTATTTCAGACCAGGCCTGCTCTGAAAGTCGTATTTTCATCTGGAAATTGTAGTTATATGTTTCTGACTCTGGGCAGCTACGACTTAAATATGCGAGTTAAATCTCTTCCTTATATGGACGACCTCAATTCCCTAGGTTTATAACTCATAAGCACCTAAACTTTCATTTTATCTGATTCAGTTTTGTAGCCTTAACTACTCACTCGTCGTCTTTATCTTTACATTCATATTTCCATATAGTCTGTTCTTCGTGATTGTGCACATTTGGATTCGCAGAATTAATGCGGCTTCTTTGCTAGTTGTTTATTCCACAATTCCTTCCTATTGTTTTTGTCTCTATTGAGCTCGTGCCCGTCGATTTTTGCTTGGAGTATTTCAATAGGCGGATATGCAGAGTATCATCCTAAATATAATTCAGCAATCCAGGTTTTTCTTCAGAAGTGCGCACTCGACGCCAGGGACTAAAAATAAAATGAAAACCCCCTCATAAACTTAAAGCATCTC